GTATCTGATAAGGTCAGTCAAGTCCCCTCAGGATTTACCCTGAAACCCTGTACTACACTTTGTAGATCCTTTGTCAGTGTGAGGCACATGGTTGTGTTACAGCCATTGCTTGACCAATTTGCTCACTGTGAAGGCCTGAGAGAATGTTTTCTCTCCATGTGACTCTCCTTAGGCATGCTCTACATCATTGATTTGACTTTTCAACATTGTTCATGGATCTTTTATGTCATTAAAGATTTTTCAGTACAACTGTATTAAGGTAATTTCACACAAATCTTCTCATCTCCAGTGTACAGGTTTTGATAAATGCATCTGATTTTGCTGCCACTACAGATGAGATCAAGATTATTTCACTTACCCCCACATGTGTCTCCCTCTACTCTACAGCGTATCTTCTAATACAGTTCCCTGCAGGAATTTAAGACTTACATTTTTCTCACTGGTTTAATCAGAGCATGCTAATATTAAGAGAGTCCCTAGAGAGTATCCTGTATTCCAAACATACCCATTCTGGAACTCTCTGTGAAATAGCCCAATTTCTTCTTGGTAATCAGGACTATTAGCACCAGAGAATACTGCAACCTTTGGCTTGGGCTGTTACGTCAAGGGCACGAGGAGCCCAGAGTGACCAGATGGCAGTTTTGTTATCCATTTCAGTAGGATAACTGCTGTATTTCCTTGGGGAAGTGTTTTCCTTTTTGAGAGTAAATCCACTAGGTTTTAAGCTGCTAAGTAAGGCCTTATGTCATGGGCCTAGGAGGCCACAATTCATAGTGACAGTGATTTTGGATCTTTTGACCTTAATTGTAGTAAAAACACCTCCAAATATTCCCCTCCTGTATCAAAAACCATACTCTGTGGTGCACCATAATGGAGAATACGGCACTCTATAAATCCATGGTTGGGAGTTTTAGCAGAAGCATTGCAAGCAGGGAAGCAGAAACCTATCCTAAAAAAGTGTGCCTCATTTAACAAAAACAAGACAATAATCATCCCGTAATGAAGGCTGTCCCACATGTTCAACCTGCCACGAGGCAGTGGGGCTGCTCTCCCTGGGGAGCAGTGCCACATGGGTACTCATGCCGACGCTGGCACGTTAGATACTCAGAAGCCACGGCCAAGATGGTCTTGGAAAGTGGAAGTCCAACTCGCTTAACTGATGGCAAACTCCATCTCTACCAGTAAGACCAATTTATTTGAGTTCATTGGGAAATGACAGAAGGGACCGAAAAGAACTGTCATTATATCTGTCTGATCAGTGCAATTCCCCACTCATAGGGCCGGCGAGACAGCTTAGTGGACTAAGCGCCTGCTTAGGCAAGGGCAGGGGCTGTGGTTTGATCCCTTGCTCCATGTGTGGTGCCGGCCCCGGCCCTGGGCCGAGTCCAGCTGTGGTGGTGCGTAACTTTAATCCAGTGCTTGGGAGGCTGAAAACAAAGGGGACAGGGAGGGGGGGTCAGTACGAGTTCGAGCTGCATAGTGAGACCCTGCACACAGAAAAAACCCTAAAAAATCTCAATCCTGAGGGCACCCTTTAGTGGGCACGGCTGTGTATGGCAGAATGCCAAGCACCTTCTCCAGTCTATATACACATGATGCCCACCACGCTCCACCCGGCCGTGCCAACAAAGCTCTGTGCAGACCCTGCCAAATGTCTGTCCTGGACAGCGTTTCTCCAGCTGATAAGTGTAGAGCCGGGACTGCGTGCTGTCTTATCACCATCCGCAGTGTGGAGCAGGAGACGTGCACCTCTTTGTGGGTTAAAAGAGTAACTGACAAATCAGAGAGCAGAAGCAGAGCCAAAGCTAGGTTTAAAATGCCTCTTTGTAAAAGTAAAAATTATCTCTTTTTTCTATCCCATTGAGAGATTCAAAGCAGTTCTGCAGGTATGAAACAAAAATACACCCCATGGCCATGTGCTTAGAATTACCGTGAAACAAGAATTTGGCTGAAAACAACAATGCTCTAGTATGAATTGTGTCACCATTAACCAGTTAATCAAGGATGACTCTATTTGGAGGCAGATATTTAGAGAGCATCATGACAGCACCCGTGCACTACAACACTGAGACGGCTTGCCTCTTTGTCTCTATTGCGCTGAGAAGGGCTTTGAGGCAAGAAGAAACAGACTTTACTCATTTTTGTTTCTTAAGCTTAACGTCTGTCCTATTTGTAATTAATATTAAATATTCAATAAATGATCCTGAGTGAATTAATCAGAAGCCTGAGAGCCTAAGTACTTTGAATCCACTTCTTTTCTTACTCTCCTAGTAGATAGCTAGCAGGATGGTACACATGGCGATGGTGAGACCCACGGAGGCTGCCTCACCTTGCAGCACGCTTCCTATGCTCAGCACAGCATCCTGCACAGATGCAATGGCCGACAAGAAGTACGTAGGATTATGCTCCATCTGTGTGCTTACTTTAAAAGGCACGTGTGTGATTCTGTAGGGTGTCTCATAATTTTCACGTTATATGATTTTGTAATACAAACTACATCTGTCATTCTTGGACTGTAGTGAGTATAACTACAAAGTAGAAGGTTGCGAAACATGTTTTCCATATTTTGTCATTTCAAAACATGAGTGCATCGATAGAGGAGGCATTTCGTGTCCGAGTTCCCTTTCAACACCTTTATTCCCTCTCCTTGTGGTGCCAACTTCCTCTGGGCTCATGTGTAATAACACAGGTTCATCATTCCCCCTTTTTCCCTCCATTAGCAGGCCTCCTCGCATGGGGTTCGTGGTTTCTTTTAGCCCTGTACAAATCCACAACGTGTCTTTCATTCTGTGGACCAGGGCTCAACAAATGTCCATACCCAGTGCTGGGAGAGATTTAAGTGGAGATAATCTTCCTTCTGTTCCTGAGCCTCAATCTGCACTATGTAAGGTCCCACAGCAAATGTTTAAAAGTGATTTCTGGGATAGCAAAATGAACTATTTCTAGGTAGTTGCAATATAAGATAGAAAATAGCAATGTCTTTAACATTATGTAGGAAAAACTATAAATGTCGCATGTGTCACTTCATGTTTTGATTTAGTATACTCTTTAACAGAAAATACAATTTAATAAGGTATACAGTGCTTTGAATGTCTGTTGTCAGTAAGACATTGGTGAAGTCTTTTAATATGGTAGGAAGATATCTTGACAAGAGTCCTTTAGAGTTCTGTAAAATCTTTCACAAAATAACATTCTTCTGGTTTCTTTTAAGATCACTGTTAGCCTTATGTAAACGAAATGATATTAGAATAACTATTCACTCAATAGTAAAGATAATGAAGCTGAGAAAACAATAAGTTTATTATGTACTTTTCTAATCTTTAACTTGGGGATTCACATCATCTGATTTTTCTCATTATTAACTTCTGTCTGTAAAATTATATTTCAGTGAAGAGTTAGAAGAATGATGTGAACTAGAAATACTTCCTAACTCACTGATCAATTAAAATTTAGGGACATAATAGCTGCTTGTGTTGCAGTGAGCAAACTCACTATCATATAAAAATATAAAGTAATTTTGTGATGCTCATTTGAAAAATGATATAGTACAGTAATAAGCAAAAGGGTGCTGCTTTAACTGATATACCATAAAATTGCTGTGTGAAAAATTTCTCCATATGAATGTACTAATAATTTTGATATTTTTTAAATAGAGGATATCAATGATAAAATATTAATATCTTCTGGTGAAATTGCTAGATTCTAATTTTATAATTGCAATTTCAAAAATAGGAAATACTCCTTATATAAGTACATATTCATGTAACATTATTTAACAAACATTGCATATTATTTTTATTTATTCAGCAAACATTATAGGTAGTAAATGCTGTATTGCACAGAAGTCTCCAAAAGAAGTGTATCTTAAACTATGTGTGGAATTATGAAAATGAAGAAAATCCAATTTTATATAACTTCTATGTTAAAGCGCATGACATTACGACTCAGAAAGTTAGAATGATTCCTGTATGCCAAATAACTGCAGCTTCATGAAGAGCCACAGCTTCCCAGGCTCTGCCCTACAGGCCCCCTCATCGCTCTGTGACACCGTACTGTGATAACTATATATAGAATATGTCTGCATTTGAATAGACTTTAGATTGGCTCTCAATTGGAAGGAGATTTCTCAATTAAGCTCTTGGTGTAATTTCGGATCTAGAAATGCTTGCTGTGAGTTTGGACACATTGCTGACTTCAGACAAATCCATAAACCCAGTGAAACTGGAATCTAATCAACAGAGTAGAAGGAACCTTTGAAATGCTAAACAAAGTGGCTGAACTGAAGGAATCTCACTCAGTTTTTCTTTTTTTCTCTCTTTACCATATAGCTTTGAACTGATTTAAAATCCCCTGGAGTGCTAACTTCAGCGGAACAGCTTGGTGGGATGTAAACTCCCCAAGTTCACAGAGATGTGAAATGTAGCACTTTTGTACTTTCAAAAGCAATTCGGATCTATACTGCTCAATACTCATGGGGCCTTGCATCTCCTTGACATTTTTATTTGTAGGTGTGGTTCTAATTCTGCACGCTAAGGTAAATACGGTAGCATACAAGAAACAGAGAGGGCCCCTGAACAGAAAAACAGAAAACTTGATCTTTGCCACTGATGAGGCTGATAACAGGGGATCTCCGATGTAGCAGCATCAGTGTCGCTATGGTGGTTCATATGCAGGACAGTAGGACTTACTAATGCATGATGCTTTAGGCCTTTTTATATAAACACAATACACATTTCTAAAAATTAGATAACTAGAGAGCAGAGAAGTACATGTAAATAACTGGATGTGCTTCTTTGTAATTGAGGGAATTCTTGTTAGCTAACTTGGTGAAATAAAGACACTGGAAAGGGGTGGAGCGCCTTGTCACTGACGGAGGGTTGAAGTGAGGTGTGAGAGAGAAGCACAGAGGTGAACCATGTACACTGCCTACGGAAAGCGCTCTGTGTGTGCTGAGTGGGGAGACGCTGGGAAGATGAAAATTTTTTGAAATTTAAGGTTGCGTGCTCTGTTTGGCAGCACATGTACTAAAATTGGAATGATACAGAGAAGATTAGCATGGCCCCTGCGGAAGGATAGCACTCACATTCATGAAGTGTTCCCTATTTTTTGGCAGTCCTGCAGATAACCCACTACTATTAGGGTCTACTGGACTATATTGGATTATTTTGCTGAATTCACACACCTGCAATATTTAAATGGCAATGGAATACCCTTCTCTGACAAAACCAAACAAAGAAGGGGGATACAAATGAAGGACCATTTAGTAATGAAAAAAAAATCTGCATATACAAAACAGTTAGACTTGATATACAGCTACCTTCTCTGAGTTCAATGAGAAGATTTATACTAATATTGTTTAGACAAGATATCATGTCTGTATCTTGTACTATGAATAACTACTATGAAAACAATATGCAATGTATTAATTACTATAACTGTCCTACTAACCTGTTTTGAAACTGTCTCACTGCTATTTCTTTCTCAAAATTAATTAAAAAATGAAATTTAAGGTTGCAAGCATATTCTTAGAAACTACCTTTCAATCTCAAAAAAGTGCCACAGCTCAACTTATATTTTATATTTTTTAAATCTTAATTTTTATTTCTTCTCACCTTATATTATAGTGCATAGATTTTGCCATGGGAAGCCTGAATGAAACAAGAAGAAAGGGCAACACACACAAAAGAACAGCTTCAAAGAACAAGCC